GTTGAAAGGAACTTAACATGTATAGCTTAGAGAAAAGACAAGACGGGGGGATATGATAGAAACATTTAAATACGTAAAGGGAATCAACACAGTAAAGGAGGAGACTATATTTAAAAGAAGAAAAACTACCACAACAAGAGGACATAGTCTTAAATTAGAGGGTCAAAGGTTTAAAAATAATATCAGGAAGTATTACTTTACTGAGAGGGTAGTGGATGCATGGAATAGCCTTCCAGGTAGAGGTTAACACAGTAAAGGAGTTTAAGCATGTGTGGGATAGACATAAGGCTATTCTAACTATAAGATAAGGCCAGGGACTAATGAAAATATTTAGAAAATTGGGCAGACTAGATGGGCCAAATGGTTCTTATCTGCCATCACATTCTATGTTTCTATGGACTGACTACCTGATGGTGGTGATTCACAGAATTGGGTGGTCAATACACCCAGTATTATTTCAAACTACACTAGTGAAATTAAGAATGTAATTATTATACGATATTGATGGAGATATCTGCACTGTTCACCCATTTTTTTTTATTTCACTGATTCCACAATGCCCCATCTTTCCAAAGTATGTATGTATGGTTGTGATCTAGGCTTTTTACCTTAGGTATTATACTTAATTAACATTCATCCATAAATTATCTCTCTCTCCCATAGAGTTTTAGTTTTGTAAACACAGATAGACAATATTTAACCAGTGTTATCTCTACAGTACAGTAGGTGGCAGTATGGTAAACCAACAGATTTAAATAATTATGTCCTGTAAACTTAGTCTCATTGTTAACGCAGAGAAGGAAGAGGAAACATCAGCTGTCTCGGTCTCCAGGTCAGTAACAGAGTATATTATCTGAATGATCGCAAATGATATGGGGAAACTAATGACAGTTTGCTGTTAAGATGCCCAAAATCTTGTTCTCAGTTTTTAAGTAGTAACAAATGGGATATGGGTTTTCTAACTATTAAATATTTACACCTTATTCTTTACTCTTAAAAATACATTTTGATACTTTTGACTTCAGAACAAGAAGACATGAAAAGCATCAATGTGAATGTGGAAATAACTATAAAGTGATCTAATGCATATCTAAATTCCTTGAAATCTTCAAACCTCATTATGCATCATTGAATTATTCAATTTTTTTTCTGTGTGATCAGAACTGATCAGAGACTGAAGGAGAGTAGAGGCTGTGATGCTGTCATGAGAAATATGTAAATTGAAATCTAATGAAAAAAATTACACAACTCTTAACAGACGAAGATTCCTTAGATTAGGTTTATTCATAGTATTCACAGTAGATGTCTTTTGTTTAATGATTTTTTTTTTTATTCTTGTTTTTAAACACTTCCAATTCAGACCAAAAGCCATATACAAAAAAATGAAAATGCTTACCAACCTAAGAATAAATTTAAAATGTGTTTTGAAAAAAATAATAATAAGACTGTGAGTTAAATAATATTGGGGATACAAATTGTCTCTTATGATATGTTAGAAATTCAGTGTAATGAAGAAGCTGTTGTTGTGTACAGGTGAATCAATAGGTTTACCGCTTTTATGATCTAGATAGTATAGAGACAGTCCTCATTAACATACAGCTGACTCTTTATCTGCCCAAACTACACCCCCTCCTCCTTCTCCCCTTTTAACAAGCACATGAAAGGTCCTCTATGTGCCTGGATTTAATGAGAGACACGCGACTCAACAATAAGGCCATATTGTAATCAGGCATCGAGTTTTAGTGGCACACGCCACCCCTAAGCCAGGTGTCTGCAGGCAGTAACCTTCCTATCTTTAAATTGATAACTGACAAATACAAAGTTCAAAAGAGATTACATGCTTAATTAATCTATATAAAACCAGTCCTGTTTACAGAATCATTATTCCTCCCTTGTATCATTGGAGTAATTTAAGCTTTTCCTATCAATGAAAACTTTGGTTAATATTTTATTATTAAATTCACATATATATGTGGAATATTTTTATGGATATATTTTGCAATATAAAAATATATTTATATATTTAAACAAATACATGATACTGTTCTTTAAATAAAAATACTATCGAGAGAGAGAGATCGAAAGAGAGAGAAAGAAATGTATTCTATTGCCATACAAGAAATACACTTAAATCTACAATATCATAAGATAGAATAAACAGTGTCTGTGGAATGGCTACATGCAAGGGGAAAAAAAACAATGTTGCTTTTAATTTTTGGAAGTAGTGCCTGATTGTAGGAAATATTCTAATATGATTGTTGTAAATATCCCAACAGATGCTGGTCTTTGTCATAATCAGATAGGCACGTCGGTGGTCACTGCAGCAGAAGGGCATTATATTCCGAGTTGGAGTTCTACGGAAGATGAAGGGGGTGGTGTCATATGAAAAACACACAAGCATAATGAGCGTTCGATAGAAAGCAGCACCACTATATAAGTAGCTAGGAGGAACCCAAGCTCTCCATTTGCTAAGCGTACACTGAATAAGGAGTATTCAAAGAACAAACACTCCAAATTAAAGAACAATTCATTCCGCCCAGGAGTTACTATATTGTTGGGACCATTTGTTCTCGAGCAAACTTCATATGGCCGGATGCTGGATTTATCACTAGAAAGGGCATGTTTTACCAACTGGATTACACCTCTGCCTTTTTGGTGCTCCAGACTGCGTTTCATTGAATGATCATCGTCTACTCAATACCTGAGATTGAATTTCAATTTAAAAAAATAATAAAATAAATTAGAGGAGCACTGTTTTGTAATTTTATTATATTTTCATTTTTATTGTTTTTGCCTTTGGAATTTTTTTATTTTATTTTTTTTTTTATAAATCTTGCCTTGGGATTTTTTTTTTTTTTTTGCCCTCAAAATTTTAAGGATTTTTAGGAATTGTGGAGAAAAACCTAATTTTTTAAATAATTTTTTGCTGGTTTTCAAGCACAAGAAGGAGATGAAGATGGAGTCAAATCGCATCACTGGGTTGACGTTACTCTTAATAGTTTTACAACAGGTAATGGCAGTTGAAGCTATTTTTCTGGGTTCCTGGTGGTCTTTAGGTTTTTGTTTGAGTGATGGGAACCCATGTGCCAGGGAGATCTGATTAGAGGTCTTGTGTATTTTTCTTCAAGGTGTCTAGCTCTGGGGTCTTCCAATTGGAGCTTCATGAATTTATCAATGCCAAGGGGATGTTGGCAAATGGAGGGTCGTGTTTACCCAACTGCAAGACCCTCTTCAAGATTTGCTTAAAACATTACCAGACGGTGGTCTCTCCAGGATCCTGCACATTCGGCAGCGTGGTCACCCCGGTTCTTGGATTCAACTCATTCACCATTAGGGAAACCGAAGGCTTTACCAACCCTATTAGGCTACCCTTCAACTTCACGTGGCCGGTGAGACCCTATACTTTGCTTTGCTAGCATTCAAGAACATAGTTAAGAACATTTTCAGATACCCTAAATGTAATTTAAATTTAACTGAAAATGCATGTGTCAATATACATTTTTAATTTAGTAAATGCAGAATTAAGTGCCAACTTAATGACCACTTATGGCTCTTGCAATGGACAAATTGTGTAATGTAACACTGCCTAAACTTGCATGTTTAAAGAGTTAATGAATGTGCTTGTTGCTTGTCTGGCCAAGGATATTCCATGAATTAATAACCAGCACAAAATATTTATGTTTGTAAAGTAAACCACCCATGTATGTGTACAAATGTGGCAGATGTTAACAACTTCAGTTGGGTTCAAAGTCTTTATTACTAAAAGACTCCATGGTGGCATAGTCTGCCCCCACCCTTGCTGCTCTACATAACCCTAAATATGCTCGGTTTAATTGAGCTTCAGACAGTAATGCTATATGCAATTAGATTAATTAAAATGCACAGGCAGACGTGCTCATGCTAGTAATTTGAGGCTGGTTTACCATTTTGTCTTTCTTTGTCTTCTTATTCAACGTGAAGACATCAGTATTGATGTTTTGAAATGTTAGATTTTAAAGTATTTTTCATATGCTTTCTATTTCAGAAAACTTTTTCACTGATTATTGAAGCTGTTCATTCTCCTGCAGGTAAATATATTTATTTTACAAACACTAGGTGGCGACATCATTCCACTAACCAGACTTTAAAAGACTGCATAAATTTATTTCCAACACACAAACAATTTAAATATGTTGTCTTGGCATTAAAATAATGTTTACAAAGAGAATAAACTTTAATCTACATTCAAAAGCCATTCCTTTTCAAGATAGACATCAGTTTCTACTTTGATATATACATTTTTTTTTATGTCCCTCCATACCTAATCTCCAACACAATTGCGTTTCCTCCAGTTTATTTTTGGCGTGGGAAAGAAGTCCACTCTTTGGTGAGAAAACCAGAAGTCTGCCAAATCGTCCTGACTGCCTTTTCCTGTATTTTACACCTTTCTCAAATTCCGCCCTTTGGAAAAGAAATAATGGCTTTTGGATGTTTTGCTGACATAAAGGAAGAGAATATTTCAACAAAACAATTCTCACGTTGAAAATTTTTCTGGAGGGTGCAGATTTTGATGCACCCCTAACCCTCAATCCTTGATGTCGCCATTAATTCTGCTAATATATATTACTGAAGACTAAACATTTTTTATATTTTTTTAATACATATATAAAAAATATATTTTTATTTTATATATGTATTTTATTTATTTTTTATTTTTGAATTAAGTCATATTTACCTTATTATTCCTTGACTGATAAGTGCCCAATGAAAATTGCTTGTTTGCAAACAGTTCCAAATGTCTTGTGAATTATATCTTTGGGGATTCCAAAGTTTCCCAACTTTATAATTCAGTGGTTTTGCTTAAATGTAAAAGATTTTATGTGTGGGAGGGGAACCCCAAAAATTTATTCTCACATCATATATTTCACATAAAAATATTCCTATGCATTTTAAGTGGTTTAATTTCCAGTAAGGCTACCCACATCAAATAGCCATGCCAATAGCCTCAGACTTGTCTCAAGATTAGTATTGCAAAATCACAGTAGAAGATGCCGGTTTAGAGAATTTCCAAGGCAGGGTAATGCAGGACAAGAAAAAACAAACTTCCTTTAAATCCAAAGTTGTGTTTGTTAAACAGTTCTGCAAGTCATGTTCCACTACAAATGTTTTCATTTCCTTGTTTTTTTTGTTTTTTTTTCCCTTCTTTTCTGTTGTTGTTTTGTCTTTAAGTGGTTAGAGGTTCCAATCTCGAAGAACGACTGATAAGCCAGTTTGCAATTCAAAAGCCACTTAATGTAAGTTCAGAATGGACCAGAGATGTTCAAATAGACAAACAGATCCAACTGAAATATTCTTACCGAGTGGTCTGCAGTGAACACTACTATGGGGAAAGTTGTTCAAGACTATGCAAACCTCGAGATGATCGGTTTGGACATTATATCTGTGAGGCTGATGGCAGCATATCCTGTCTGAAAGGATGGAAAGGGGAATATTGCTCAGAACGTAAGATTTATATAGATATATTTATATATATATATATCTCATTTGGTTTTTGTTTTGTTTTGTTTTTTAAATAACAAAGCCAATATGTGTACTGAAATGTAGCATACCTCATTCGCAGATTACTTTGTTCAGAGATATGAAATATGTTGGTGATATGTAATCAAGACCAAAACAATTATATATTGTTAATTCAAGAATATTGGGTGACTTTTTTGTCTAAACAAGAACTCTGATGCTAGTTGATTCTGGGCTGCATTAATGCCACTCAAGTTTATCCACATTTCTATTTAGGGTTACAAAATGCATGTACTTTTACTGTGATCAAAATAGCATTTTGCCAAATCAATCTATTTTTTTTGCACGTTCTAACATGAAAGACCATGTTGGTAATAGTGCTGCCGTTATTTATTTTACTTAAGTCCAATTTAATACACACAATTTAGCTTCCTTTATGCCCCAGAACACCTGCCACTTGAGAGCATTATTAATCCCTAGATACATCTTCAATCTGTGTCTCATTCAGCTGTTCATTAACAAAAAAAAAAAAAGGGGGTTATGTGGTTTATGTAGAAATGGAATAGTTTGTGTGATCACACGTACAGCTTAGGGCTCTCCTTTTGTGAGCCGAAAAAGAAAGCGTCTTAATTAATCAAATGAGCTACTACATATCTCACACAGCGCAAGATACACAGACTTACTATAAATGCAAGCTATCCCCTATCAGCTTTTACGTCAAACCCCCTTTGGCACTAACAATGTTACCATAACAGATTTAAGGTGCTAATTTATGAGATGGCAAGCTACTATAGTGTACGAGAGAACTATTGTTCATAATTCAATAGAATTATATTATGTATTTACTTACGAGTTCGTATATATTCACGGCCAACATACAAAAGCGAACAATGACAAAACAATGAGATCCTGTTTCGAACGATTACAATCTAATCGTGTGTCTAAGGCAAAGGAAATGGCTTGGCCAAACGATAACCTGGAGACAGGCTGGTATGCTGTTCATGTATAGTGTAGGAGAAACAGAGCACTGTGTTTTGTAATCGTATATTGTCCAATATCATGATGTCTAGTCCTTTATAACCAGTATGCATTTCAATGGGGGTTGACATAATTCACACAAAAGCTGAGATAATATGTTCAGCATATACTGCTATTTCATGTGTGTACTGGCAGATAAAGGGTTAATAAATAAATAGCGGACTCCGGTCATTTTTACATTTTGACTATTTTTAACTTAAATTTAAAATTCTCACTTTAGTACATAGCCCTAATGAGTCAAACGTCACGATCCACCTGACGTTATGTAAATATAGATTCTTAGGGAATCATTCATTGAGCACAACATTGCAGTGAATTTTAAACCAGATTGCTAAATTTATGCCCAAAATAGGTCATTTACTACAGTCATATTTGGATATTTAGCCAAAATTTTGAAACTGGGTTTTCAATTCATTAAAATTCAGAGTTTAGTAAATATTCCTTTCAATGTAATACTCTATGACGTATAAGGTATGATACCCTACCCTTTCGCCATCTCTAATAAATTCATGTTTGGCATCTAGTAGGTATTTGGCTCTTGACTTGTACTTGACTAATGGCACACCCTGTATTTTTATTATACCATTCAATATATAAAAACGGAAATACCATGTGTTCACATGGTGGGAAAACATGAATGGTAGGCTGGATCAGATAAGCCACATATTGTTTGTTTGCTAGTTTGCTCATTCTCAGGGTTATCCACTAAAATGCGAATTGGTGGGAATTGAGAGTGAGTTCAAGGAGAAATTACATTTTTAGGCCAAATAGTCAAATTAGAAACATAGCTGTACTGAATTTGAGTTTTTTTTAATAAAATGATATAATGAGTGGTTATTGTATTATTTCGTGGTTTATTTTACCTCCTATTGGTATGCAATCCTTTTTGATTATGTGATTGCTATGTAGCTCTGCTGGAAATACTGTTCATTATCAGTCTAGCAACATGGGGTTAACTCCTTAAGGACACATGACATGTGTGACATGTCATGATTCCCTTTTATTCTAGAAGTTTGGTCCTTAAGGGGTTAAAAGAAGGCTTTCAAAATAGCAACTGTTCTGGTTGATTGGCAATGGGATTACCTGTAAAATGCCTTTATTCTTAAACAAATGGAGAAGAGTTATCAAAGTGTCAAGTTTTCAAAAATGCTGAAAGTGGGGCAGTCACCATGAAAACCAGAAGAACCAGAGTCCACCGCTCTTGCATCTTTGCATAACTTTCCAGAACATGACACTTTGATAAGTCTCCTCCAATGTGTCTGCATCACTTTCCCTAAAATAAAAATGTACTTTTATCAAATTCATGATAGAACAGAAACTAAATGTTTCTGCACATTTTTTCCTTCTAATAAAAGTACTATACAACTGAGCTTTAATTTACCCTAGCACACGCTGTGTCCGTAAAAATGGCTTATATAAAGAATACTTGGCTGCCCTCTGGAAAGTGCATGCAACTCATGTCTTCATATTTGCATGCCAGGGGGGCTAGTGGCAAGCAAACATTTTATATACAACTGCTTAGAACTCTGCATGAAACCCCACTTAAGCTTCTTAAATAAATATGCATCATAGGGTTGCGTTCGGTATTCACCATTTTTTCCTGAACAAAAATCTCTTCTTCATGCAGTTGGTCAGTGCATGAAAAGTGTTGCCTTGGTGCAAATAGAATGTATATTGCAGATGGGGAACAATTGTTTCACTAATTAAAGCACTTGTTCTGGGATTGTTTTCCTTCCTGACCTATATAATAATTCTATATATGCATGTAATAGATATATGTGAATATATATTTATATACAGCAGGGCTGTACTAGACAACAGCATGCAGGGGAGGATAGGGACCTGACAATACTAATTGCAGCTAAGCCCAGCAGTTCTCTCTCTCTCTTTTTTTCTGTTTTCAATGGGAAACCTGGTCATCTTGAATATAACACCTAGGAAAGTAGTGTGTCCATGGTGTGATATGTGTTTCCAGGCACTGTCAACACGTTAGGGAATGAAAGGGGAGAGGAGCTGCGGCGCTGCAGGGTGGACACCAGTGGGCGTGTCCATGTAATGCGAAGCGCTTCTCTCTCTCTCTGGGCTGCAGGGGTCAAGTGTTAGGTGTCACGCGTGCCCTGCTAATGGCGGCAAGCTTGTGCCACGCGTTGTTATTGTTATCGTTGGCTGTAGCCCGAGGCAACGAAGCTGCAATGAACAGCTGTAGTCAAGAGGGGAGGGTTTCGGTGGCTTAAACCAGCAGCAGCAGTAGCAGCTGTTGTCTTATTGAGATGGGAGGCAAGGGAGGGGGGACCGCCTTGTTCAGAGTCAACCAGGCATTAAACAAGACCCTTGTAAGCGTGCAAAATCAATGTCACCCGGGCCCAGCAGGGCAAAAACAGCGGCAAATTAACTGGCTGCTGGCTTCCACTTTACAGACTGGGATTTAGGAAGGAAGGGGGTGGATAGAGAGTCTGCACCTCCTGGTTATTTACACTAAAGCACATTTTTCTTGTTGCTGCTACATACAAGAGCTTGTGTAAAGGGGGCATATTGACTAAGCAGTGAATTTTTGGAGAACTAAAAAACAAAATGGCAAAACTTTTAGGGCAAAAAAATTGGCAATTGCTGAACCAGAGAATTGTTTCTTTTAGTCTAAATTTAGCAAATTTGTTATTTAGGTCACTAGGAATTCACTGTTTAGTGAATGAACTAAATATATATCCAGCTGAGTTGGATATGAATTTCCAAGTCAGCTATTTTTGCCTGAACTGTCCAGCGTTTTTTTTGGGGGGTGGGGGTGAGGACTAAGACACTCAGTCCATCATTTATCTAAAGGGATAGATTTCATTAATTGTTTGTTTTTTTCCCATAATAAATAGAATAGAAAAAAACACTGTCCCAGCCTGATAAGAAGCTAAAAAATGCTGTATATTATCTTGAAATGTATAATTCAGTTTTACATTTTTAGGCAGAATTATTTTTTTTCTATTGAGTGTTAAATAAAAGGGGGTAAAGAGTGACATAACTAAAATCACTTAATGCATCGTAAATCCATTTTTATGGCATTGTCACCCTAAACTGCAGGTCAGCACTTAGATTTTGACAATATGATTTCATACTAATTTTGTTCTGAATGTAACTTAATTGACTTTATAAATGGAATCTGTTCCCTTTATGTTAAACATGCACAAATGGAACGCGTTCTCAATTGTCTAAGGCACTGATTTATTGTCAAAACTTTGTAAAAACGTTTTTCTGCTAAGTGTACCGCACAATTAATCTAGCTGTAAATTCACATTTCAGTGTACTATGCTGGCTATTTACATTTCTGACCATCACAACTGCTCCACAATAGAAAAAAATGAGGCATATCACATGAACGCCTAAACTAAATGTAAACGTACAGCATGCATGGGGTATTTTTAACCCCTTATAGACACACTTGCAGAAATTAAAGGGAATCATGACGGAACATTTCCGTCGTGTCCTTAAGGTTCAACACCTTTTCCTGTTTGTCAGCTTGCTTAACACATGAACAGTGAAATAAAAATAAATCAAAATTCTACACAGTTATACGGAGAAATAATGAATGCCAATTAACCCTTCAGGGACCAGTAAAGGAATTATTCCATGATAGCAAGGTGTTTTGTTTTTTGTTTTTTTCAGATTCTGTACACGTAGGACAATTCATGATGATTTAGGAGTGTATTTACTAAAAATTGTACATAATTCAAAACCAAATTGCAAACTTTAGGCTGAAGTAGACAAACTGTCTCCATAGCCGAATTGGAAAATGTGTACAAATGGCTATTTTAGCACAAATGTTGCAATTTGTATTTCTATTCACCACGGTTTGCCTTATTTGTTTAAACCTTGAAATTACTGCATGTACACAGATCCCTTAAGGGGTTAAAGCATATCTGGAAGCCCAAATGAGTGTTTAGGTATTAACAAGTTATGTCCTGTCTAAGTTGGGTTTGTCATTGTGTACATAAAACATTTTATGTTTGCAATATTTACCAAAGTTTTAATTATGTTTCCACAGCAATTTGCATGGATGGCTGCAGTGATCAAAATGGATATTGCAATAAACCAGGAGAATGCACGTAAGTGAAATCTCAAATTGGGGTGTCATTTATCACCATTACATAGTGTGTAAAAGATGTATCAATGAAACCTAGAAATCCAAACTGAATTGCAAAATTCAGGTTAAAACACCCAACTTTTATAAGTGAGAAGTCCTAGTGAATTGAAAGTGAATTTTAAATTTAAGCATAGCTGATTTTTTCCCCCAGTTCTGCACTGTAGGCCTTCAATTAAAAATTCACTTTAAATTCTTACGATGTGTCTATAGGGGAGTTAACAATTTATCCAAATCAGCTATGTTGACTTAAATTTTACCATTAACTCAAAAAAGCAATTATTGCACAAAACAAGGGGCACAATTGCCTAGAACAGGGATAGGCAACCTTCGACACTCCAGATTTTGTGGACTACATCCCCCGTAATGCTATTATACCCATAATGCTGGCAAAGTATCATGGGAGGTGTAGTCCTCAACATCTGCAGTGCTGAAGGTTGCCTATGTCTGGCCTAGAATAAGCAAAGCCCTCTAAAATAGCTAATGTCATATAATGCGTTTTGTTCGTTTTTGGAAGTTCTAATGCAGGCAAACAGAAGCACCGCCTCCCCAGATATTGCCGAACTGCAACTCCTATGATTCTCTCCCCACCTGTTGCATTCAAAGAATGCTGGGAGTTGCAGGTTCTAACACATGGCGTTTTTATATATATTTCTGAGATCATTATAATTCTATACTAAGATGTGTCATTTTACTTTTCTGGGAACTTAAGTTATTTTTTCTTTTGCGTTAATCACCAAAGTGTAAATGAGAAACCAAATCAGACCTCACTATTATCATTTTAGGTGTCGTCCTGGTTGGCAAGGAGGTTTCTGCAACGAATGCATCCCCCATAATGGGTGTCGACATGGGACATGTAAAATCCCATGGCAGTGCATATGTGACGAAGGTTGGGGAGGACTTTTTTGTGACCAAGGTCAGTATTCAGCTGCTGAGCTGCTGGCAGTTAACTTGTGTATGTGTGAGGAGATGTGTCTTTTATGTTCTTGTATATATGTTTTTAATAATGTTAGAAGGTGCATTGTGATTACAAAATGTTTGAAGTTTTTTTACAAAAAAATCCAACTTCGAACGTATTCAAAAATAACTAGTCACGTCTTCTGCACATCAGTTTTTGCATATTTTGATGGGGGCAAACGGTTATACTGTGTCAACTTTAATCAAGTATAGAGGTTTTCGTTATCATTGATATTGAACGATTTTCAATAAACCATTAGATCATCAGCATGGCTTGTATCTAGGTTTTATTCCCAATGTTTGCCCTTCCAACAGGTTAGCTGGATCAGTGATCCAAAGTAGGCATTAAATCATTCTGTGACATAAAGGAGACAGTCTGGCCTTATTAACTCAGTCACACAACACAATAGTCTGGTGGGCAAGTGGTAAAAAAAAAACTGTTGTAGAGCACATAGTTTGTAAGCTACTGTTGTAGGCCACGTAGTTTGACATCCATGTTGTAAAGAATGTTGCAAGTTGTGACTATGCTAAAAAAGTTAATATTACCACATTTCTTTTATTTCTGAGAATTTGATATATATTTTACCGTGATGGCTTTATTAAATCTCTGCCTTTTCCTCTTAAATTACTTATGTATTTGTCTTCTTACAGACCTGAACTACTGTACCCATCATAAACCTTGTAAAAACGGTGCCACGTGTATGAATACAGGGCAGGGCAGCTACACATGCTCTTGTCGGGATGGTTTTAGCGGTGTCAACTGCGAGGAGAAGATCAACGAGTGTGATAGCAATCCTTGCAGGAACGGGGGCAGCTGTACGGTAAGATATTCCCAAAATTTAAGTAGCATTAGTTAGAAAGTGTTGCAAAGTCAAATAAAAGATTCCATTCTTTTATAATTCAACAGTTTTGTCAAATAGCTGAAATGTCTATGGATCTGTAAATTACAATTCATAAAGGCACTTTGTATTTGATATAAATTACCTGTAGAAATTAGTAGGGGTAGAAGGAAAAATTGGACCATATTTCCTATTGGGCTCCTGAAATTCTTACTTTGCGCCTTTGACCCATCAAAGGTTTTCTAATTTTATTGAAACAATATAAAAGTTGGGCAACAGAAAATAAAGGACCGGGTATGATTCGAGATGTTCTTTAAATCGTAGCTTGTCAAGCCGTAATTTACACTTGAAACATATATTTAGATCAGTAGTGCTGTCCTGCTACAACTTCTCCACACCAGTACTAAGTTATGTTTTTTTCCACTTCCTTGTTTTTCCTGTACTATATTGCAAACTTGTCTGAACCAGTGCCTGATTCCTGTAAAAGTTTATACTATCAACATTTCTGTGTGCAAGACTTGTATACTCTATTCTCAATACATGAACCGTCAACACCGGATTAAAAACTGAGGGATATATTCACTAAACACCAAATTGTAGTGAAATGAAAAAACGATCTGCAAAATTTAGACAGACCGACTAAGCACAGCTTTGGTTATTTAACTAAAATCTTGCATCTAGGTTTTCGATTGACTATAATTCCATGGTTGGTCAATAAACCCCGTCGTTTCTGTACATTAAAGATGCTGGGATATATAATTGCACTTGATTTAAATATAATTGAAATTATTTTATTTAAAAAAAAAATTTGTTCTACTGTGTGTTTTTAGGATGTGGAAAGTGGCTATATCTGTGAATGTCCTCAAGGTTATTACGGAATCCACTGCGAAAACAGTGTATTAAACTGTGCTGATTCTCCGTGCTTTAATGGTGGCACATGTCGAGAACGAGAACTAGGGGCTAGCTACTCCTGTAACTGCCCATTGGGCTATACTGGTTCCAACTGTGAAAAGAAAGTGGACAGATGTACTAGGAATTCCTGCCAGAATGGTAAGTACCTAGCAAAAATAATGCTTTTTTACGGTCTCTTACTTTATAAAGGTTTTTTTGTTTTGGATTTTGTTTTGTTTATTGTGATCATTCAGTGATCCTATTTAAATAATTTGGTTGTGGTAATACGCAGGTACTTTCAGTTACAACAAAAACAAAGTTAACCTTTATTTACACCTGTGTATATAGTAGTTATTTTTTTAGGTTACAGTTTACTCAGTCTGTTTAATGTTGGTCCACACCTCATAAAAGGTTATTCCAGGATATATCCTCTATGTTTTTTTCTCTCCCTCTTTTTTTATTTTTTATTTATTTTTCTTCAATATTTATAGAAAATGTTTTGGTTTAATAACCAACATGCATTTGCCAACACAGACAAGAAAACAAAAGAAACAATTAGGGTTATTAACTAAAGTTTAAACTGTACAAATTCACTGTTAGCTATGCTTTCAGTTCCGCTACTCTGGCCTTAAATTAAAAATTCTCTTTAAATTTTCTCTGAATTCTCACTTTAGTGAATAACCCTGAATGTGATTAAATCTTAGTTAGGCATAGAAAACATTTTAGATCATCAAGATCTGTTAGAGGTTTCATCTCTTTATTCAAGAGATAGGAGACAAGAAGAGGAGAATTAAAGTTTGCCAAGTGGGATAAGGGGAACACACCTATACCCCAATTCCACATGGTGGAATTTGGTACATGATGTCTGCCTTAAATTATTATTACTTCTATTTGTGAGGCAAATCATGGGTCCAGGACATATGAGATTAGGAGTCTGATATATAGAGTTGCTCAATTTATTGGAGATGTAGGTTTATTGTCACTGACAACATTTTTTTTGTTTTTTGGTAGGGGGCCAATGTTTTGACACTGGTTATACTCAACAGTGCCAATGCAGTCCTGGTTTTAAAGGCCCGACCTGTGCAATTAATATAGATGATTGTGCCAGGAACCCATGTTCTAACGGAGGGACCTGCTTTGATTTGATTGGTGATTACCACTGTAGCTGTCCACCAGGATACAGCGGGAAGTCTTGTGAAGTGAAAACCAGTGAGGAGAAAACCAGTGACGAGTGCACCTACAACCCTTGCCGAAATGGTGGGACATGCCGTGTAGGGCCCCATGAAAATAGACTTACATGTATTTGTCCTCCTGAATACATGGGAAACCTTTGTGAATACATGGATCCCAAATACACAAAAGAAGACTTTGACTTTCCTTGGGTGGCAGTGTTCATGGGGGCTGGCTTGGTGGGGCTCCTAGTCTTAATGTGTATGGTCTTGATGGTTGTCAGACATTTCCGTCAACAACCCCTGCAGGATACTAAAGCAATGAACAATCTATCTGATTTCCAAAAAGACAATCTGATCCCTGCATCGCAACTAAAAAATATAAACAAGAAGAAAGATCTAGAAGTGGACTGCAGTCTAGAAAAATCAAACTACAAGCTGAAAAATCACACATTAGACTATAACCTAGTGAATGGACGCCTAAGTGGTATCAGTAATGGAATTGGAAAAGGGGACAAGTTCCATATCAGTGAAAAGTCTTTAGAAGAAGAAGAGAAATTCCCTCTCCGTTTACACAGGTTAGTTTACTAGATTATAATAAACTTATTTCTTTTGTAGCAATTGCTACACATATGAAACATTCATTCATTAAGTTTGTAGTGAAAATCAATCAAGAGCAAAGTTATGTTATTTTTTTCTCAGGATCACTTCAATGTCCTCTGTCCTTTCAGTATACCATTCCCCTGTCTGTCTATTTCTAACACACTCCCAGAATTTCACATTGCAATATGCAAATAAATGCAAACAGTTTATTACTTTAGAGTCTAGCGCACACGGAGTGTTTGATTTGTATTTTGCTGCATGGCATTTTGGGACAGTGATAATAGGATACTGTGCATAAAGTAAAATTTTCTTTTGTAATTTACATATTTATTGAGATTAACATGGAGTGTAAGCAATGTTAGCAACATAGAATATAGTTAAATTGTTAATCTATTTATCAGTACGTCCGTAACTGCAATTTGTACGTAAGAAGGGCTGCCATCAAAATTTTTAGGACCCTATAAGCCCACTGGCTGAGACACATACGAAACATAGGTTAGCAGACAGATATAATCCAACAAACGTTCCCAGAGAAATATGTACAGTCATAGACACAAACACAGATATATATTCCAGACAATCACATAGGACACACACACACGTACACTCACAGACACAAACACGCTTACAAACAGGTACAGATTCACAGAGTCAGACAAATACTGTCAATATATACCGCTAGGCATACAGAAAATACTGAGCACACACTTTGCTCAACATACACACACAATCACACTAATAAATATTAACAAACTGCTACACTGCTACACTCACACACACACACCCTTCTACACATATCTTCATTGCTGAATACACGTTTTTACAGATACACACACACACATTACAGATGTACACATAAAATAAGACAATTGCAAACAATAGATCGCTAGGCACAGGGCTGCATACTCCTGGTTCCACTCGAAACCTCCAGAGCGGCTTCCACAAGCACGGAGAGGAAGTCATCTGACATCACTTCCTCCCAGTGGTAACGCGAAGAAAGAGGAGTGGGTGGACAATGAGTCCATTAGGGGGCCTGGTCTGCTGGAGTACTGCAATGTGGTCCCCTCCATGTGGGTCCCATTGCTCGAGCAGGTCTCTTACAAGAGTACAGGCTGTTACCCCCTGATGGCGGCACCGTACACAGGAAGATATTTTAATCACTTTACGCAGTATAATGAGCATTAAAGTACAAACCATTAATTTGCAGCTTATAATTATTACATTATTTAGAGGATTTATCAAAAATATTTGCATATTATGCCTAGACTGCCCAGTTAAATGTTAGGGAAGAGCTCTATTTATCCTATTTATTTTTGCTCTCCTATTCATTCCTTAGCTAAAACCTTTTTTTTTTTTGTAAAGCACATTCAAAAATTCATTGGGGTCAACACATCAACACTACCCAAACAATGCAAGGTTAACCATTGACAAACAGCTGCTGCACAACCCTCCTCGTTAACCACTGAAATGCTGAGCATTGTCCGCCATGTAGATTGTTTTTAATTTCCAATTGTTTAAGTGTTCGTTTTTTTTTTATCTCTCGGCAGTGAGAAGCCAGAGTGTAGAATATCAACGATATGTTCACCAAGGGATTCAATGTACCAGTCAATTTATGTGATAGCAGAGGAACAGAACGAATGTGTGATAGCCACAGAGGTAAGAACATCACGGTTGAAAACAACCTAGGGGTGTAATGTTTCCAGTGAAGCTGATACTTCTCCTTATGGCAGAGATAATGCTCTTAGATTGTAGTATAACAGCACTTAGGTATAAGGGTGACATCTTATACCTGCACACACAACGTTCCATTGACTAAAGAGTGAATTAGCTGCCTGTTTCAGAACTGGTGAGTTTATTATCTATTTGGGTCGCCTCTCTTGAAAATGATCTGTGCGCCGAGTTAAAAATCTCCTCTCCGTGTGATCTGGAAAGAGATGATTTTAACTGGAGATTAAGATAAACAATCCATTATTATCATGACAATAGGGAAATTTACAATTTACTGTTTTCAATAAAACTAAAAGAATCATTTGTGATTCCACAACACCCATGTTTTGTTGTTGTAAAGACAGGGCTGTCTAATGATGCTGTACATTGAGTCCCACTGATATTTGTAAACACATTTTAATTTTATTTTAATTACTGAAAATTGGTTCTGCACTGTACATACTTAGGAGTGGCTACAATGATAAGTATACCGCAACATATTACCAGAATTAACTTTTGTTCCTTCCCACCATTCTGCATGCAGTAAATATAGACTTAAAAGTAAAGGGCATTTCACCATGTACGGTTCAGGACCTGGAAATTGTGACTTTCCCAGTGAATTTGGGATGGTTAGGAGGCATGCACTTATGGCACAAGTGCTAATGGTCTTTTAGAGCCTCCTAAGGTGACACTATGTCTACGTACATGATGCCTATCCTAACCTAACCTGATCATGGAGGTGTAAATGTGAATTCACAATATTCCTTTGGCTAGTTTAACATAAATATAAAGCTAGAACATGCAAACCAACCCAAAAGTCCCTGGAGACGGTGTAAATGTTTAGTGCTACAATTCTTAAATTGAGTGGTAGCCATGCATATATGCGTTGCAGGCCAGGTAATATGTAACAACCATCTGGAGATGACATCAGGTGACATCTAGCATTATAGAACTTCACTAGAAGAAGTGGAATTTTATGGGAGGGTAAAAGAGAGAGAATAAGTTGGGTATCCACTGTTGATGTGGATACGGGAGCTTATACTGCCATGTTGGATGAAGACACTAGACTGACATTTAGAATAGACATTGAAAGTAAACTAAGCTGTTGAATGAGACAACAAAATGACATGGAGAAGGTAGATATGGTGTGATATAGATTATGGGAAACCAGACTGATTTAAAAGAAGTAGTCAAAAAAAAAAAAGAATTATATTGAATGCATAAGAAGTGGACTAGTATAAAGATTTGAATTGCAATAAACTAGATACTAAATGTAATTCTGCAAAGCACCTTCATCAGGCTTTTCAAAGTATAAAAGAGATCTCTGTTGCTTTGGGTGAGGCAATGCAGTACAATAAACAGTTTATGGTAGTTATTTGACATGGACATGTTGTACCTTTTCCTGCCACTAGGGACCCAGTTAAAAAGCATGAGGAGCCAAGACTGGGTGTTGAATCAGGGGTTTAAAAAATACTGTACTATTGTATGCCCGTATGCCGTCTATTCAATTAACAAGGGGTTAGTATCTTTGTGTTTATGTATTACATGTCACCAACCTTGAAAATATACAATAGAGGTGCAAATATATGTAAGAAAATAATAAAAATAGGAGCAGCTACACGCATCCACTAGCGACTATGAATGAGTGTAAGCTCAAAGGTTAAACAAAACATGAGCGCTCTTTACTCATGAAACATATTGAAAATATAAATAAATCAATAAAACAGTATTTTATTCCAAAAAAAATTATATATATATAAAAAAAAAATAATAATAAATATAAAAAAACAGATCACAGATGACCTAAACCTGCTGAGATGAGAATAAAAAACAATGTATCTCTTAGAAAGAGAAAATATAAATCTACAGAAATGCAGAATGCACAACTGAGTCAGAAGGGTTAACTCAGACACTAGGTAAAAAATAACAACAAAGTGTCAGAGTATTATCCCCACCAAACTCAGAAACAAATATAACAACTGTAACAAATAATACAAAACTAGGTATATACTGTAAAATACCTTTCCTCGGTGTGGGCCCCCCACCGAGGTACATACACAGAGCGTGTAGAAAAAGACAAATGAATAAAAATAATGAATGATGCGAGCTGGAGGCGGTAATGGTATACTTCAGGAGATGTTAAAGTCCAGCAAAAGGCACACAGGATTCCTCAAAATGCTATAAAGTATATCGCGGTCGGGATCTTCAAAAAAGACCGCGATATATACAGAACTCACTCACTGCCGACGCTCGCAATAACTTCAATGCCAGGTAAGTTCATCCGATGGGGAAAAAAGACCGCCAAAGTACAGAACCGCTTCCTGCTCTCACTCCTCAATCACAGCAGGTGTAGGTTCATCCGATTCACCAACCTTAAAATCAACCCATACTCAAATGTTAACTTTTGTAATAGTGCTCATGTTTGTGTAAACATTGTGTATCACCAACAGTATGGTTTACATCGGTTTACCTTTCTAACACAAGCTATTATCTTTTCCTCACAGGTGTAAGACTTGAGTTGAACACAAAGAAGCGCAACTTACAAGTTTTTGATCCTCAAAAGGACAGCTAAGGAAAGAACGCGGTATGGCTGCGTTGTTTACAATTCAGGACTTTACTGGACTGGAGGTGATATATATAAAAATATGTCATCCTCACATGCAACTTGCTGCTTTCAGAAGATCGAATAATCTGAGCTGAAAGGGGACAAAGAATGTGAACTTACAAAATAAAATACAATAGGACTTTACTCTTTTAAGCTCCTTGATCAACTTGATCAACTGAATGTAACAAAACTGGAAGAAAAGTAAAAAGAAAAACAAAGCAAAAAGAAAACCGTTAAAGACTTTCTAATTATGTTTTTAAGCTACTTCTTGAAGTGTCCTTTATATGAAGCTTCACTCCACGTCATTGTGTACACATGTATCTGTGTGGGGCTGACAGCGACGGATGTTGGCAGACTTTGCCGTTCAACATACAGTATGTTGGTTTCAGGAAGGTGGACGATATATGTTTGCTATGCAGAACTGTTTTGCTATCACGGTCTTAGTGTTGTCCTCCTGAATTTAGAAGTGCCTATAGCATGTCCAGTAGTCTACATCATGCTGACCGAAGTTCAATGCTCTCCCATGTAATACCTGAACAGTATTAAGCAAAAATTATTTGTTTTATCTTTTTTTTTTTTTTTACCATACACGTTCTGCTTCAAAGGAAAGGTTTTGGGATAAACTGGTTGTAAAGTGACAAGTGGACATAGCTGTATCTTTAAGACTGATAGTACATAAAAAATAGTTGTGTGATGCCCAAGTCTTTGGCAAGAAATCTATAGTCAAAGCCTTATATTGCGTTACAAGTCAATCATTCCAGCCACTTTAAAAAAAAAAAAAAATTCCTTTTGCACTACTGAAAATTGTGGTTAGAAGTGTGTTTTTTCTTCAAAAAAAAGAAACCATGTTAATCTGGTAATTTTTTTGTAATCATAGCCTTACTCTTGCAAAAAAGCCTCAAAACAGCCGTTATTAACTTATAATATAGGAATATTACAAATTAGCTCCCATCAGTTTCTCCTTATATATCAAGACTATCAAGGGGTAAACCTCAACTTGAGTCCCGTTGAATTCTGAATAAATCTCCCTTTGACTTGTTTCCATCTTTATTGCAGTATCAAACTTTAAAAATTTTTTTTTTTTTTTTAAAGCGATCCGTTAAACAACTTGCCCATTGAGCATGCTCATTTATAATTGACCTTAAAGGAGAACGGTCACTTTCCAGGATTTTCAATAGGTTTACTGATAACCCCACCACCATTTTCCTATGTAAATTCTAAGTTATAGAATGATCACTGACCTCCTGCAGCTTCCTGTTCCTCCTATGATGTCAGCATCCAAGCGGACATAACCCGCAATTTGCTATTCATAGAGGGGCAATGGATTGCAGCTAGGCATGCACAGCCATAGGCAACCCTCCTATCAACTACCAGTAGCGTTTGATTCCAGGACGGAGATTCACTTTATTCTGGAGGAGGAAGCACCTCTAGTGGCTGTAAGAAACATAGCAACTAGACGAGGAGTCACTCCTTAATATAAAATTGCAATTTCCAATAAACTGCAATGTTTAACATTACAGGGTTAAAATGGCATTGAGGTGAAATGGTGTGGGTGACTTTAGTGGCCCTTTAATAAAGAAATGTTAAACAAAATAGAGCATCTCATGAGAAAATGTTAATCCAAATTCTGGGTTATTTTTTTTAGTTTTTTAAATTCTTTATTTTTGTTGTGCAAAATGAATTACAAACAGGCCTGCAGTGCCACGACAGCATTCACAGCATTGAGTGTTGTGGCATAAGAAAGAACTGCACAATTTTTTAAGTAAGGAAACAAGATAATCTAAGTCATGCCAAAAGATGAGCAGGTATTAGGGTTATACAGGGTTATATAACTTGGCGCGTTTAGAGGTCAACATGGGGTAGTTATAGGATAAGAGTAGCATGCCTCGGCTTTAGAGCGATCACCTGATATATTAATGTGTGAGCAGGAGATTGTGGGTAAATGGTGATGCGTTCAGGCTATTTGCGCATTGCTTAAATTATGGGTTATTTTTAATCATTTTTTCAACGGTTTAAATTCCAGAGAAGTGACAGTTCCCTTTTAATTTTAATTTATTTTGTGGTTTCTGGACAAATTAACGTGAATTGTTCTCTATGCTACCAAATAATGCATCTTTCTTATCATGACATCACCTTGCAATAATGTTTGCAATCTATTAATGCTGTACAGGGCTTGCAGCACTAAACTGAATGACCACCAGCTTTAGCAGCCTATTACGGGACCTGGAATCAATGGAGGAAAAGGAAAAATATTATTCACTACTGAACTTTGACCTTACATTTTGTGTAGGGTTACCTCCCTCCCCTCTATGCTGCAGGAATTGCCTGCAGGCATCGTCTTCATTGGAGATTTGAGACTGATATTCAATAATAGATGTTTTTGGCTTTTTGTCTTTTTCTTTTCTTTTTTTTTTTTGAAACCTAGCATTTCAATAATTTAATGAAAACAAAATCAAAAGCACTGACGTTTTTACATTTTTATAGCATTGTTTTGTATATAATGTATATTTATAATCAAAACAAATGTAAATAGGTTTTATTTCTTCTTATGTCATGTTTTTAATGTGCTAGCAACAAAGTTTGAATTTTATTTTATTATTTTATTTCCAAACAATGAAACATCTTCCAACTATTTGCTTTGTGTCCAGTTTTTTTTTCTTCACATTTTTAGAAGACCTTTTCCATCAAACATATTGTTCATGCACACACATTGCATTAGTACTTAAAGTACCATAATTACTACAGTTTGCGGTATTCGTTACAGTGCCAACAAATGAAAAATTAGCTAAAACTGCGTGGAAAAAACAAAAAAAACTAACAAAAAAACAACAACAAAAACATCCAAATGGTGGGTAGCCCAATAAATAAAGCTACATTACAAAAGCTGCCCAAAGTTTGAGTAAAGTTTTACGTAAAAAAAAAAAAAAAGTTAAAAATTAAAAAAAAAAAAACAAGCTTCTCTTGCCCTGGTACCCTCCTATAGTAAGTGGTCACAAGTTTAGACGCTCACAGCTAATGTGCCATCCTTGCACTGCCCGTCTTAGATCAGGCGAGCTAACGCAACCCCTGATAATTTGATAAACCACTCCGAAACAGTTCTAGTCCAAGTGGTTATAGTGCTTGGAGTATTCATTTAAAGGACTTTTTTTGTAGAAAACATAATTTTATATTCTTTTAACATTTTGATCACAAAGTTTAGGTGTTTTGTTTATCTATACAATATTAGGGGTATGTAGAAAGCAATGTTATCTTTAAGTAATCCCCTTATCTAGCTTTTAAATAAATAACAGAAATTGCAATTAGTAACAATAATAACTAGTAAGGCCAATATGTAAAATACCAATTATATCCAAGCGTGTAGAAAACTATAGTACAGGACAGCAGTACTTAAAATTATTTTTGAAAACAGGGACTTATATTATATACATTAGCTTGGAGTCTCATTCTTCAATTGAAAAAAAAAAAGTAGCTTAGGGACCCATTCTTATATTTTAGATAGTAAATCTCTAAATGAATTCTAAAAAAGCTATTTCATTAATCTCTTTCCATTGTTAAAGAGGTCTACACCCTGGGGAAAGCAATTCATTCTATAGCAATCAGTTTCTTGTAAGCAGCTGTCTAAAACCTGGATGAATATTATCAGAGTATTTATTAACGTGAAAATTCAAAGTGCTTTTCAAAATTAGCTAACGTGAAATCATACAGGACTTAGAGAAATTTTCAAGTTTGTCTACTTTGACCTTAAAGAAATATTCTGGGCGCCAAAAGAACGTCACCAGAATTATGTTATTATGGTGTGAGGAGATACCCAGGCACCTGCTTAGCTCAAGGCATTAAAGCTTAAAAAGTATAGAATCCGGAGCACGTCAGCTCTATCTAGTGACTTTCATTGTAGTCTAAGGCTTGACGCTCTTAACATTATCAGTAGCATCCATAGGCATGCGCAGCCTAGTGCATAAGTGTGTGTGTGTGCTGTTTGTGTGGGGGCTGTTAAGTTAATAGCCACCCTCCCTTCTTACCTTATGTAGGGATGGGAGACCGTGCTGCTGCCATTCCTGGTGGTCCAGTGGTGAGTGAACTCTAGCCCCGAAAGGGGCTAGAGTTCACTCTCGCGAGACCTGAGTATTGCCGCGGCAAGGCTCCAACCTCGCGAGAAGAACCCAGTGGAGCTGCTGGCAAGAGCAGCTTTGATCTCCCTCACCGGCCCACGGAGGGAGGCACATATTGCGGGCCGCGGGGATTAGGGAGTGCCCAGGCACACCCCGTGCGCACGCCTATAGTAGCATCCCATTCACAAAACATAGTGAGAAAATGTGTATGTTTCTAGCTCTGATTTGTGAATGGGTAGCTATTGAGTCAGAGGTTCCACAATTCAAGCCACGGACTGCAACAGAAGTAGCTGGGCAGAGCTGATGGGCACAATATTCAAGACCTTAGATTAAAACAGTTTGTTAATAGTTTACCCACTTGAGGTAGGCTGGTATAAGGAAACTTCCTCTGACCATAACAACTACGTGCTGATAAAGTTGTTATGGTGCCCAGAGTGCCCCTTCAAATGTTAAATTCAACATGGAAGGTAAGGGCTTAAGAACCCATAGGATATATCAACTTAGTTTACTGGTATTTCCAAACTACTTAACTTTTTTTTTTCTAAAGAGACCAAACTTAAGTTCATGGCATAGGCTATATAACCCAGTTCATCAAATTTAAAACTAGCCCATTGACCTATTTTTCATTCATGATAACTACTAAAATAAATGCTGTAAAACACCTACATTAGCCTCTTCCCAGGGTTATGGAGTCTCCATTGCACTGGGGAAGGCAGTACCATTACAGTAAATTATCTATTGAGGGCAAGCCCTCTGGAGTTTGATGCATCTGTTCTAGCCAGTGGTTTACCTGCTATGATAACATGGGGACTAATTTTTGGATTCTGACCTAAGAGTTAAGAATTACTGGCTTAGAATTTAACTTTTCCAACCACTGAAATCTGAGCAGTGGTTTCTCATATTTTTGGGACAAAGACACATGTAAATTACGGTAACTGTCCGAGGCACACTTTTTTTTTCTTTTAACCTTCGTCATCAGCTTATAAATATCACATTTACTTGAAGCCGTTCCAGAGAGATATGCCAGATATACATCTAGCCAAAATGGCTTGTCAGCGCCAATTAAATTCCAGGTGGCTACTGTACGCTGGTTAAAAATCAGTGCCCTAAATAAACATTTAATAAGCAGTGCTTTGCGGATAAGACCTTGTAAACTTCAGAGCATTTATACTGGAGAAGGAAGATAAAATAACAGAAGTTTTCGGTATTTTTCTTACATTTTTGTACAGAAATGGAGGAACAGAAATAGTTAAGTCAGAGTGCACTTGTCGCTGTGCACTTGATAAATTTAGGCAAAAAAAAAATAATAGAGTTTTGAGGGAAAATAATAGTGCGAGTTTCCTGTTGCTTTTCCTGTGGCCTTTGAGAAAACAGGCAAATAGGAAGCAAAAAATGCATTTCCCACTAATTCTTCTGTACAAGTTTACAGGAAAGAATTGTGTATCCACTTGTTACAAATGAATGCGCATCCTGAATGTGTGTTGTATTTCAGAGCTTCGTGACTCAGAATGAAGTGTAGGTAGTGGTGGATGAGAAAGTTTGAAGAAAACTGTTGTGTAAAATAAATTCTACAGTTTCCAGATGTATGAATATGGCAAAAAATTTAATCTTTTTTAGATGTTTTATTAAGCGCTTTATTTTTGTGGGGTTGATATACATACTCAGTGATCCTATTAAAGAACCAGTTTCAGCACCATTACAATGAATTGAAATTATGATGTTATGGTGCCAGGAGGACCCTGGAACTCCTTACTTTGAAGGGTCAAACCGTTTATGAACGGTTTAATCACAAAGAGTACAATCTGGCATCATTCTTTCCAGTGTCTCAAAATCAGTGTCTGCGGTTTGGCAGGGGATGTAGCGGATTGTAGCTGTTCATCATGCCAATCAGAGGCACCTCTGCGTCTGCAGTTCCGGCTCCCTCTATCCAAATTTGAGACTATGGATGTCATTGTGAACAACTATGAATGGTGCTGGATTGCACTCTTTGGGGTTAAACCGTTCGTGAACAGTTTAACCTCTCTAGGTAAGGAAGTGACTTGAACCTCCTGGCACCATAACAACTTATTTATATGAAGTTGTTTTGGTGCCCAAATTGGACGTACAGATGTGTATTTGAATGCATAGAGTGTTCCTTCAAGCAGGTACAGATAGGGTGTGGGCATTCTTTTCATTGGAATAGTTTGACTACTTAACGTGGCATGGCACTAGGGCACTCCTGGCACCATGACCACTGCAGCAGCAGTGTAGACCACTGTAGACATTCATTGTAAGTATGCAAGTTTGTTTGGGCAGGGCCCTCTTAACCTATGGTTTCTGTATGTCAAATGTGTTTTGTTAAAATTAATTCTTTGTCTTGTTTTACCTCCTGTACAGTGCTGTGTGTAGGCAACCTTGGGCCCTCCAGATGTTGTGGACTATATCTCCTATAATACTCTTACAGCCATAATGCTGGTAAAGCATCATGTAAGATATGTTCCACAACATCTGGAGTGCCGAAAGCTGCTGGTTTTTAAACTTTCAACAAGTAAACCGCTAACAAGTTAACTACAAGAACCACAAACCCTTACTCTACCCATGAAGCAATGATCATGTGATAAGCTCCCCAGTTAAGTTAGGCTGTGTCGTCAGTTTTTGTTTTGCTGAGAGTCCACTACTGAAGCTGTAAAGCCTGGTAATTTGTAGCAAACACTGGGCCGTCAAATTTATTATCTGCTATTATCATTATAAAAGCATTCATTAAAAAAAAAAAAAAAAGAATGGATCAGATCAAGGATTGAGTTTTCCCTTGCATTTGCTATTTCACCCACCAAAGTGTCCGTTGACTTCTAGCATTTGTGAAGAGAACCTCTAATGTCCCTTACACAATATGTCCTTTTTGTGGTACAATAAACCATCAATTTTCTATCCATTATTGTAATTTTTAGATGTCACTTTTGGATTCTGTAAGCAGGCAAATCATATTCCAGCTCCGATATAATCTCTTCACCATGCCAAGACAACATTTTTCAGTTAATCCAAACCAATCTCAAATTTATTCCTTTTCCACTGTGCTCATTTTAACGCTAAATTAACACCATAAATCACTCATCTGTTACTTTTGCCATCTTCCCTTTAATGTGCTCTCAATAGGCTGCATGACGGACGATGTCAACAAGCAGACGAACCGATAACTGTAAACCTATTTTATTCTGTATATCTGCACATATGCTTTCTCTATTAGCACAATATATAGATTTTTTTATGTTGTACACATCTGTCACCAACACTATTAAATGCAGTTTCAATGACAGATGCACATCTATCTGAAACTGGCTTCCGCTACAACTGGCCCATCAATCGAAGTGTCTCTTATGCAAATGGTAAACTCCCAAACTCCAAATTATGCTGTCTGCTTGCATATTTCTTTCCTAACACGGCTCAAACTCACTTAGGTTCAATTGGAATAGTAAACACTTAACAATTTCCTATTTAAATGCTGAATGTATTTTGCATATATTGTATCTGCTAAATTACAATGTGGAAAGAACACTATGACTCATTCATAATGAATTATATATATTTATTTTTTACATAATTTACCCACATCTTGACCGTTACTAGATAGTGTTCGATCCTAATTGCATACATTTCTGGGACACATGTCCCGGGCTATCCAAGATTAGATAGTGGTAGTTTTATTTGATTTTGCAAAGCTTCTGTTGAAGGAGGTGTAATTCTTATTTTAGGCTGCATGTCAGTTTTAAGATTAAATAAGTTGATAAAAAAGAGTTCACATCAACACCAGTATATTGTAACATCTATATTATATATTCATTAATTATTAGTGAACCCCCTTACATGTCTTATATAGATTTATATATTTCATTATGTACTTAAATTAGAGGGACAAAGGTTTAAAAATAATATCAGGAAGTATTACTTTACTGAGAGGGTAGTGGATGCAGGGCCGTCTTTAACGCGGGGCAAACGGGGCAGCTGCCCCGGGCCCAATTTCTCTTGGGGGGCCCGAGGCACCTGCCCCGTGGGCCCCGCTGCCCTCATCAATTTATTTTTTTCCCCGTCCCACCGGGTGGCCCATGCACTTAGGGCAGTGGCGTACATACCAGGGTCGCGGCTGCAACCCTGGTATGCACCCACAGGGCCAGCGTCTTCCCCTGGGGGGCCCAGGAGGCGGCCACCCCAGGGCCCCCCGAGGCTGGCCCTGCTGACCCCGGCGGGTGGCCAGCCGGGCAGGAAGGCGGGCGCGCGAGGGAGCACTCAGTGCTTCCTCTTCAGCTCCCTCGCGCACCGCACTGATACCGGAGCCGGAAGATGACGTCATCTTCCGGCGCTGGCATCCCTACGCGGCGCGCGAGGGAGCTGAAGAGGAAGCAGTGAGTGCTCCCTCGCGCGCCCGCCTTCCTGCCCGACCGGCCACCTGCCCGCCGGGGTCAGCAGCACCACTGGAGGTAAGGTAAGGAGGCTGGGGGGATTACATTTAAAAAAAAAAAAAATGTGTGTTTATGTGTTTGTGTGTTAGTGTATGTGTGTGTTAGTGTATGTGTGTTAGTGTGTGTTTGTGTGTTAGTGTATGTGTATTAGTGTGTGTTTGTGTGTTAGTGTATGTGTGTTAGTGTGTGTTTGTGTGTTAGTGTGTGTTAGTGTATGTGTGTTAGTGTATGTGTGTGTTAGTGTATGTGTGTTAGTGTGTGTTTGTGTGTTAGTGTGTGTTTGTGTGTGTTGGTGTGTGTGTGTGTGTGTGTATGTGTGTTAGTGTGTATGTGTTAGTGTATGTGTGTTAGTGTATGTGTGTTAGTGTGTGTTAGTGTATGTGTTTGTGTGTTGGTGTGTGTGTTAGTGTGTTTGTGTATGTGTGTTAGTGTGTGTGTGTGTGTGTGTGTGTGTGTGTGTGTGTGTGTGTGTGTGTGTGTGTGTGTGTGTGTGTGTGTGTGTGTTTGTGTGTGTGTGTTTGTGTGTGTGTGTTAGTGTATGTGTGTGTTGTGTTTGTGTGTTAGTGTGTTAGTGTATGGTGTAGTGTGTGTGTGTTGGTGTGTGTGTGTTTGTTGGGTGTGTGTTAGTGTATGTGTGTTAGTGTGTGTGTTTGTGTGTTAGTGTCTGTGTGTCAGTATGTCTGTCGTGTGTCAGTATGTCTGTGTGTGTTTTTGTCAGTATGTATGTCTGTCTGTGTGTCAGTATATCTGTGTGTGTGTGTTTCAGTATGTCTGTGTGTGTGTGTCAGTCTGTCTGTGCATGTCAGTATGCCTGTCTGTGTGTCAGTATGTCTGTGTGTGTGTGTGTGTCAGTATGTCTGTGTGTGTGTCAGTATGTCTGTCTGTCTGTGTGTCAGTATATATGTGTGTGTATATCTGTGTGCGTCAGTATGTGTATGTGTCAGTATGTCTGTCAGTGCGTCAGTATGTCTGTTAGCGCATGTGTATGCATGTGTCAGTATATCTGTCTGTGTGCCAGTATGCCTGTGTGTGTGTGTGTCAGTATATCAGTCTGTGTGTGTCAGTGTATGTGCCTGTGTGTGTGTGTCAGTATTTCTCAGTGTATGTGGGTGTCAGTATATCTGTCAGTGTGTGGGTGTCAGTATTTCTGCCAGTGTATGTGTGTCAGTATGTTGATCAGTGTCTGTGTGTGTGTGTCAGTATGTCGGTATATGTGTCTGTGTGTCAGTATGTCTGTATATGTGCCTGTGTCAGTATGTCTGTCAGTACGTCTACCAGTGTATGTGTCTGTGTGTGTGTCAATATATGTACCTGTGTCAGTGTGTCTGTCAGTGTATGTGCCTGTTTATCTGTATGTAGTCAGTGTATGTATCTGTGTATCTGCTTGTGCGTCAGAGTGTGTACCTGTGCATCTGAGCCGCAACTTTAAATACAAATACACCCCTCCATTCAAACTTCAACACTACATATAAAACACACTCCTGCATTGAAACGTCAACACTACATACAAGCACACTCCTACATTCAAAAACAAACACTACACATAAATGCACACTTGCATTCAAACTCCAGTACCACATACAAACACATTCACACAAACATACTCCATACAAACACATGCTTACATTCAAACATACAAACATGGCTCAGTGCTAAATACAACCCTGCAAGCATGGGAAATTGGTAGAGTCCCAGCTGTCAAAGCATTGTTGGAGTTGCACGACAGATGGGGTTCTACCTTTAGTCCAACCTTGCAATTGGGGGTCCCAATAAAATTCATTCTACTTTAGTACCGCCACTGCGTTGGGATGGATGCCGTGATTGCATACCAGGGAGTGAGGGGCGAGAGCGGCAGGGCCCAGGGGGCCCAAGCAAACACTTGCCCAGGGTCCATTCGTTATTAAAGACGGCCCTGAGTGGATGCATCGAATAGCCTTCCAGCTGAAGTGGTAGAGGTTAACACAGTAAAGGAGTTTAAGCATGCGTGGGATAGGCATAAGGCTATACTAACTATAAGATAAGACAAGGGACTAATGAAAGTATTTAGAAAATTGGGCAGACTAGATGGGCCGAATGGTTCTTATCTGCCGTCACATTCTATGTTTCTATGTTTCTACTTTCACTCAGAGTATTGTACGCAGTACTAGACAGACCGTATCTCCAGAAGGATATTAATACTTTGGAGAGAGTTCAGAGAAGGGCTACTAAACTGGTTCATGGATTGCAGGATAAAACTTACCAGGAAAGGTTAAAGGATCTTAACATGTATAGCTTGGAAGAAAGACGAGACAGGGTGGATATGATAGAAACATTTAAATACATAAAGGGAATTAACAGAGTTAAGGAGAAGAGTATGTTTAAAAGAAGTAAAGTACACCAAGAGGACAGTCTTAAATTAGAGGGGCAAAGGTTTAAAATAATATCAGGAAGTATTACTTTACTGAGAGGGCAGTGGATGCATGGAATAGCCTTCCAGCTGAAGTGGTAGAGGTTAACACAGTGATGGAGTTTAAGCATGCGTGGGATAGGCATAAGGCTATCCTAGATTCAAGATAAGGCCAGGGACTGATGAAAGTATTTTGAAAATTGGGCAGACTAGATGGGCCGAATGGTTCTTATCTGCAGTCAAATTCTATATGTATACTTTATCAAATGCTATGTGAACTTTAATATCTGTCCTTCGTTATCCAAGTGGAGCAATCATAGTTTGAAATCTGTCAGATGTACTCCCTCTGTGTCTCTATACAGATATAGCTCCCAACTATTTAGGACCAACAGTCCCTATTTTGGGCCCAAATCCCTTTGACACTCTTTTCTAGGAGCTCCATATTGTTGGTGTGTCTGTGTATATAACAGAGTTCACACTAATTTGTCTTTAAACTACAATAAATGTGTTTAGAAATTTAGTTGCATAAATTATTAGTCACCTAAAATTTTTAGAACAGTCCTGCCCCTGGCCACACCCCTACTCACACCCCTTAAGTTAAAGAGTCCCTCTTGGTCAGTCTAATATGTTGGGAGATATCTATAGTCTCTCTATGAACCTATTGATTCTTGCTCCTTCATTTTAATGATTTTTTTAGAGAGGTCTAAATAACTCTATGGTTAACCTTGCTTCTTAAAAAAAAAAAAGTCAAAATCTAATTTTTAAATAAGCATGTATGACCATTTTTCACGAATGACAGTTAGGCTTCTAAATATAGGTATTCCAAATCATACGTCACATTTAGAAAATACGCGCTCCCCTATTATTAGCAGCATGTCTCTATTTATAGTTTGATCCCATAATACATATTAGCAATCCTTTGCAATTAAAAATAGAAATATTTAAGATCTGTACATGCAACAGCACACACAGACTCAACAAATGTAAAAAAATAAATTAAAAAACGGACAAAAAAAAAATCTGCAGATGCTCACACTTTGCCTCTTCCCTCCCAATGTGAAATAAACCCAACAGATGCTTTGCTATTAATTGAACCCATGGATTCCATATACAAAGTCCTGTAAAGGGTAAGATGCTCATTTAGAGAAACAATGCGAGCTGAAATAAATTAAGTGTGCAGTTTTCCTTTAAATGTACCAGTTATCCACAAATCAAGGTTTAGAGACAACAGTCCAAAGTCCAGTGTTACAGTAAAGGCTAAATCTATCATGTGCTGTGTTACCTTAGTTACATTTAATATATTACACATACCCCATAAGTAAAAGAGGTAGAAACGGTTTGCTCCTGGAAATAATGTGTCAAAATATAAATGCGCAACTGTATCAGACCTATGGGTTGTCTCTATGCCCGCCACAATCAGTTACTAACTAGTAGTTAATCTTTAAAATAGTTGTCGGTAACTATTGCAACTTTCCAGAATATACATTTGAACCACTGGCATCTAGTAATATGGGCCTGCAATATGTTTTAATGACTCCCACTGAGATTAGTTGAAGATAATATCTGCAACCCAGTTTTCCCAGTAGATGGTAAAAAATGACCATCAGGATGGATACAGTTGCGAATTCATTCAATTTGGCGATAAGTGGTCAATTAAAGGGACACTATAGTCACCTGAACAACTTTAGCTTAATGAAGCAGTTTTGGTGTATAGAACATACCCCTGCAGCCTCACTGCTCAATCCTCTGCCATTTAGGAGTTAAATCCCTCTGTTTATGAACCCTAGTCACACCTCCCTGCATGTGACTTGCACAGCCTTCCATAAACACTTCCTGTACAGAGAGCCCTATTTAGGCTTTCTTTATTGCAAGTTCTGTTTAATTAAGATTTTCTTATCCCCTGCTAAAATAGCTTGCTAGACCCTGCAAGAGCCTCCTGTATGTGATTTAAGTTCAATTTAGAGATTGAGATACAATTATTTAAGGTACATTACATCTGTTTGAAAGTGAAACCAGTTTTTTTTTTCATGCAGGCTCTGTCAGTCATAGCCAGGGGAGGTGTGGCTAGGGCTGCATAAACGGAAACAACGTGAGTTAACTCCTAAATGACAGTGAATTGAGCAGTGAAATTGCAGCGGAATGATCTATACACTAAAACTGCTTTATTTAGCTAAAGTAATTTAGGTGACTATAGTGTTCCTTTAATGATGTTTAAATAAATACGTTTGACGGCCCCTTGTTTTTGAATAACAGCTAGACCAAGCATGTCAAACTCAAAGTCTAGTAAGGGCCAAATAAACAAGGTTTAAGTTTATGTGGGCCGCAAAAAAAAAAAAAACGTAAATTTTCATAGAAACGTAGGTTTATATTGAAAAGTACAGTATAAAAAAAAAAACCTCTACTAAACCACAGCATCCCCCATATGCTAAATCCCAGTCCCCCCCTCTACTAAATCCCAGCATTTTAAAGCTGTTTTGACATGCTTGAATTAGACCTTCTAAAAATAAGAATTTTATTATTATTTTTATTTTTTTTGTAAATATCTTTTTTATTTTTAGCAAGGAATCAGTATAAAACAATATGACAATCATTGAGAGATTTGCAGGTCTCTCATATAACTTAAACAGTAAACATAGTGGGTAATTGTATGAGCAGACTCACAGGTCTGCAGAGGTAAGAAAATACAGGAGACTCGCAGGTCGAAATCCGTGAGTAAAATATCACTAATAACTGGATGAATAAGGTGCATCATAAACTTCAACTTATCTGGTATAACAACACAATAACAGAGAATTACCCTGTTGCGCCTTTGTGTCCAGTAGTTCTATACAGTTATAAGGGTGTTATGCCGGGATACCAGTGCAGCAGGCTTTTATGCTCCCATCGGGGAATTCCGGTTCAATTCCGGGATTGGGGGAGAGAGAAACAGAGAAGGATAGCCGGGGTGGGGAATAAGAGGCATTTACGTTTTTATGTCACATTAAACCTGCATGTCCCTCCATATCAGTATGGGTAAATAGAGCCAGGACAGTTAACTCAGGTCTCTTTGATTGACATGGATTCAAAACAGAGCTACAAGCTCCACTTCCATGCCATATTTTGTCAGTTTGACAACTTAGTCAAACTTAATATGCTGAAGTGGTTATGGTGCCTAGAGTATCCCTTCAAAATCTTTTTCTACTTCTGGTAGAAAGTCAATCCTGTATATTCTGTAGCTACATGTATGTAATACTCACAACTTTCCAATTAGAAGTCTTAAAAAAAAAAAAATCAACATAAGGAAAGATACGTAAAACTGTAAAAATGTAGCGGTTACAAAAACAGAGCAAATGTGATACATTTGGCATCTGCACATAGCTTTAATTTAATTGGGCCCTTGAAGAGACCAAGGGTGACAGCTGTGTCAAAGTAGAAAAGTGATCTAATTAGTAAAAAAAAAAAAAAATGCCCTTAGAAATTTCAAAAATAACGATTTTCGATATTTTGACTGCTGTAGAATTTTCTATGTGACATTAAAAATATAACAAACTTTTTTTTAAGGCTGAAATAGCTGAGCTGGACAAAGAGCTCTAAAATGTTTAAAGCGATCCTCCAAGCTTCATGATTATTATAGCTAACTGTACATTTTATTGTAGTGGTTATGGTGCTAGGAAGCTGTTCCTGCAATCTTAATGTATCAATCCCTAAAGTTTCCACATTTTTTATTGATCTTTTGCATCCAAACTCTACTTCTTAGCTACCGAAATAGCATCACCAAGTCTAGCTGGCAGCTCACACAACACAATCTCAGTGCAGTGCGGAACACTATCTGCCTACAAGGCATTGCACAGTGCTGTGTGTTTGCAAGCTCACAACTCATCTCTTGCAAATGAAAAGGGCTGTTTTCTCATCCTGAGTAAGGAGTACATGTTAAACTTCCCAACATTACATCAGTGAGTATGGGGGCTTGAGTGTCACATTATAGGCACCTAAACAACTTTAGGTTGATAATAATAATAATAATAATTTGGTGTAAAGATCACACCCCTGCAGTCTCTCTGCTCAATTCTCT